ATTTATCATTTCAAAAATCGCTTGTTCATTGGTGGTGTATGGTTATTTGAAAAGATTAAGATTATGACACTGTTAAAGGTTGCCTAATAAACTTTATTATATGTTTACCACACATAAGTATAATCTCGAAACTATTATGGTTCTTCCATTCAACATCCTTATGATACCGCATTTATACCGTTTAATGCAATAAACTTATTATTTTTGTTATTAAACATCTTCAGTTTTTATCTACAATAAGTAAATAAAACTGTGTCGATATCTTGTTTACTTAGAGACACGTATAGATTTTATTTATTTATTTTTATGTGAGGTAATGAATGAAAAGTTTTTTTTTAAGTGAAAACATCTTTAGGCGCGTTTTGCACTTTTTTTGTGGAGAGTGAATTTAGATTGATCTGTCAGATCTCCGGTGTGTAACGCTCGGATATAGTCGGCTGAGGTCGACTAATTGAAGTGTTGTTGCATATGGATTAAAACATCTCAAAAACTAAAAAATCGGACCTGCGCATTGTAAGCGAGAAAATGTTTATCTTTTCATTCTCTTTGTAATGAGCTATTATTCTAAATTGTATCTTAACGCGACGCCGTGTTAAGAGGCGAAAAAGAAAAAAATAGTGTGGAAAACCAAAGGATAACGAATTTTATGGAAGATATGGATTAAAATATCTCAGAAACTAAAATCGGCCTACGCACTGGTATGGCGGACCTATGGGGAGAGGGCTTTCGGGCTGAAGCCACCCCCAAAATGGTAAAATATAACCATGTTTTACAGAAAAAAATATGATAAATATCTCATAAAGCATTCTTATTCGTGTAATTACATTTAATAGGGCTTCAAGAACCACTTAAACACCATTTCATATAGGTAGTTAATTTCTTTCTTTTTTTTTAAATCAATTATCGTTGTATGTATATATATATATATATATATATATATATATATATATATATATATATAAAAAAAATCTTTCGGGCTGAAGCTCCCCTCCCCTCAAAATTAAATGTTCATTCTCTTTATAATGAGCTATTCTTATTCTATTAATCAGCCGCCATTTTTTAAAGCAGCGGCTCTGGAACGGCAGACAAGGTTCTTTTTACTCAGAATAACTCTTTCGTAATTAACATTCAAATCTTCGCCTGCGATCCTGTCGACTCCAGAACTATTGGGTATAGGGGATGAATGTTCTCACTACATTCAACTAGCTTTGGTCGGAAACTCCCATGCCCTGTGAAGAACTGTGAGACCCAGTTGTCCGGGAAATGTCTGTCCCATTCTTGAACTAACGCTGGAGAAGTATTTTCTTAAGTTGACCAACATATAACCGTACCTTTACCAACGATTTTATACAAATTTAAACGGACGTAACTACAGATTAATAAATGACATGGCCACAGCTGACATATCCCTGAATATGAGGATTAAACTAAAAAGCAAACATCGCAGTTTTTTTTGTTTTTCTCTAATACATAGCTGAAATAACAAATTATTTCTACGACAAATTATACTTATTATATTCTAAGAAAACATTTATAATCAGGTTTGTAATTTATTTTATAGCTGCACTTAAAATTTCATCTTTCGAGGAATGGAAAGATACCACATTCCCAATATGTGATGTCTGATTAAATATCATTTGTTTGTATTTATTATTTGAACACCTAATGTAAGATTAAATCTGATTGATAGGAATTCTTCGTTCTTAGAAAAAATATTTTTATTGTGTCTAAGGAGTCCTCTTGTGGTGTTGTTTACTTGATCCAGATTTGTGTTTACATTTTCGGACTTAAAATAATATATATATATATTTTTAAATTTCTTAATGATATTTACTACACAAGAAATACATTTAGTAAATTTGAAGAAATGGATATAATGACTTGAAAACACCTCTTCAAAACTCCCGAATGGTAGCACTCTAATAATATCTCTAAATTAGGAGATCACGGGACCATCTTCTTTTCAGGCGCCTCGGAGGGTATCATGAATTGAAGAGGAAGCAAGGCTAGAAATTAAGAGGGTTGGGATGATTCTGAAGTTTATTATGGAAGGATAAGTATCTGAATTGGGCCAATAAACATAAGAAATATTAAGGTCATTATGGATGGTTTTATTTGTAACAAAGTACTGAGCATTTAGGATTTTACGAAGGATTTTGTATTGTAAGGATTGGATACGAGAGGAATTCGATGGTTTGGTGGAGCTCCATAGGCTCAACATCGTAAGTCCATATAGGCACTATTATAGTCATGTATATGAGTCTTCTGTAATTAATTAGAAATTTAGAGCGTTTGTGCTGGAATAATCGGAAACCATCGAGTGGTTTCTTGTCATTTCAGTCTGGTATAACTAATAATTTAAAATTTAATTTAGAGATAAATTTTTAATAAATATATTTAATCTAAACAGTAAAATAAACTATAATATTAGTGTTGCTAAAATCGGTCTTGGTCTTGCACTTTCTAAGACCAAGACCTCCTTATGGTTGCAAGACCAAGAGCAGTAAAAAAATAAAAATTAAGGGAAAATAGTTACGAACACCAGCCAATTTTAGTAGTTACTATATATAAAGAATTGGTAGAACGAATATATTTTTGGATTAAAATCTGATTAATTAGCAATCTATCCTATGAAATGATCCGACGTCCAAAACGGATTTCGCCTCGCCGCGGCGACATCAGCTATCGAAGGAAGGCGAAAATAAAAATAGCCGTCAAAGTGAATAAGACCCTTTTGTCCATCAATAAAGGTTAATTCAAAGCTTTAACTGTATCCTTCCCGCCAACACCCAGGTCTCAAACAAACTGTTATTTGCCACCTTCGGGTTCCACTGGCGTAATGAAGTATCTTGGGCATGATATATTAAAAAAAATAAATAAAACGCCTCAAGTCACTCTAATTAAAGTAAAGTAAACGGTAAACCATAAAGTAAAATAACGTTTACACTTCGTCGGTTTGTTGCAAAAAGTCAATTGGCATATAATCTTATATATTTTTTCTAACAGTTGTTTTTTTTTATCGCAAAGCCATAACTTCATAAATTCTTCATCAAATCTAATGATTGACCTCTCATTTTAAAGGTCTGAGAAAAATAATCACATCTCTCAGAAATTTAAGGGAAAAACTGGTGCGGTGTGCACCTCACACAAATTTCACTTACCACTATTGTCAGAAATAAGTATTTTCAGACAAAGGAAAAGTGAAAATAAAAAATATAGACGCTGTATTTATTTATATTTCATTGTGGGTAATTGTATTTGCATAAGTATCCTTAAATATATAAATTTTAATATTTATAGCGCTGTAATCTTTACATAAATATTAAATAATACCAACAATAGCATTTATGAAAAGAGCATATGTATATTTATATAATATTATCGGAGTCCTTATTATATTAAGCTTATGTTACGTATGGAAGCTGTTTTAATCATTCAGGCAAGCTCGTATTCCTTTGGTTCCTCAGTTAAAACTATTCTCCGTTATTATCTCTTATTTCTCATTTAGTTAATTATATATTTTATATTTAGCTATATTTTATATTAGAGATCAATGTGAAATGGTCAATTGTTTCAAATAAAATAAATTAAAGGTATTTTAGGGGAAGCTAATATTTAAAATTAGCCAATTAGGCCTGGTTAGAGAACATCAATAAGAATAAAACCAACAATTTATTTAAAACTGCTTAGTTTTACACTGACCTTATGAATTTAATCAAAATTGTTAGAGCCGTTTTCGAGAAAATCGTAAAAATATGTTAAGTCCATGATATAAAGTGCCACTTTCGGTTAGCTGGTTTTGACAAAACGTTGCTGTAATATAACTAAAAACATTAAATATGCAATTTCAGTTTCGAATGACATTTCTTTTTTGAGCTAGACTGTCAATACTGTATATTTCATATATAGGTAAGTGAAAGTAAAAATGTTATGAAGGAAAAGGAACTTCATTTGCGAATAACTTAAAAATTATACATTTTTCTTGATTGTACTACTGATAATTAGAAAGAGTATCAAAACAAAACAAGAAAACATATCGTTATAAACAATAATTATTAACAAAGATACAGTCCATTAGATGTGGTATACTTAATAATGTCTTCCTGTTTAAAGATATTGCATTTATGAGTAGAATAATCTCCTACACTTTTTTTCCTGGCTGATATATTAACTTTATTATTACTTAAAGACATTTGGTTGTTCTTATATTTTATTTTATTTTTTAATAATTTAGAAAATTTCATGATCGGTGCATTATTTTGTCTTTATTACTTTTATTATCTTTCCAGTCAGCGTTCAAAGATAGGCCCTAGCAAAGCAATTTGTACAAATATTTTGGTCTATAATATGAAATGGAATATTCTATTAGGCCAAGTAAAAACAATTAATTCCTGACTCACATAAAATATAGGATCTACTTATTTCCACATTGTTTTTCTATTCCTTCACTAAACAAACTTTTCTACAAATTATTCGCACGGACCAACTAGTAACATTATGATTATCACTGATAATAACTATGATGATTTTTTCCCTTTGTGAAATCAGAGCGTTATATCTCGTATCCCCAATCTCTACAATCCAAAATCCTTACTTACTGTAAAATAGTCCTTATTTTCTCACAAATAAAATAATCCATAAAGACCTTAATGTTTCAGATTTGGCCCAATCCAGATATCTATCCTTCCATAATAAAGTTTAAAACCATCCGAATCCTCTTGTTTCTAGCCTTGCTTCCTCTTCGATTCCTGATAATCCTCCCAGGTGTCTGAAAAGAAGATGGTCTTGTGACCTTTTTTTTGTAGACATATCATTAGAGTACTACCAGTGGGTAGTTTCTCGACAAGCGTTTTCATGTGAATATATTTCTGTGATGTATTTATATTAATACAGTTGTAAATATCATAAATAATTTTTTTTTTTAAATTAATACTTTTTTGAGCTACCTTCTCTTTTACATATACAAATGTGTATATTAAATATAATGGATCATTGTCCAGGGCATTGGCTACACGATCGTAGGGATCACGTTCGCCCTCCAGCCTCCTATGAAGTACTTGGCCAACGAACTCTCCGGTATCTCCAGGATGCTCATAGTCGATACCTACCTCCTCTTCTCCTTCTGTGGGACGGTTAACGTCTGGAGAGGGGTCTGGAAATTCCAGGATATTTATTTCTTCCCAGGTGAGTGGATAACCATACTAGTGTCTATGGACGTTTGCAAAATTATACCAGTTGTGTAAATACGATACTATTATTTTTCTTTAAAATAGGAGTCTCCGAAAGGTTTTGGCTCGCGGGATACATTGTGTCCTCCACTAAGTCCCTGGAGCCACGCCTTGTGATGTGCTTGTGAGAAACTGAGGTGTGTGCTTTAGACCACACGATAGAAGTTAAAACATCAAAAAGGCGACAATAATAATATAAATTATAAATAATAGCTCATTTTAAATAGGATGTAATGCTGAACGTTTCCTTTGCTTACATTATAATTTTTATGAGAAGGAGTTGATCGGTGGTTCGGTCAAATAAATACTACATTAAACAAATAGTATTATTTAATTGTTGCTGACGTTTCGACCCACTTTGCAGGTCTTCATCAGGGCGTAGGATGTAGCACTGCGGGAGGCAGTTGAAACACTGAATGTTTCAAATATACTATATCAACGGTCAACCATTATAATTTTTAGTTTCTGATATATTTTAATTCATATCTTCCATAAAACTCGTTATCATTTGGTTTTCGGCGCTATTTTTCCTTTTCTCCTATCTAACGCGGCGTTGCGTTAAGATACAATTTTGAATAATAGTACAATACAGAGAAAATTAAATGCTGAACAATTCTCCCGCTTACTGTATGCAGGTCCAATTTTTAGTTTCTTAGATATTTTAATCCATATCTTCAATAAAACTCGTTATGATTTGATTTTTGGCACTATTTTTCACTTTTTGCCTCTCTAATGTGGCGTCGTGTTAAGATATAATTCTTATAAAGATTTCCCACGCTATCAATAAGCAGGTCAGATTTTTAGTTTTTGAGATATTTTAATCCATATGCAAAAATACTTCAATTAGTCGTCTCCAGCCGACTTTAACCGAGAGTTATGATGCAAACTTTTTTTTTTTTCGAAATTAGTTAACTAGGTGGACGGATATCACGAAAACTATAGAATAATACGAAAAAACTAATATAACCATTTCTATTGCAAATTTTGTCAGCTTTAATTTTACACATGACATTATTATAGATAGAACGCATAGTTTCACTGATATAAGTAAAATAGCGATCTTTTTTCGATTTGATATCCACGGGCATTATTTCGACTATTATTTCTTATCTTAAAACTGTAAATACTATAAATTGAAAGGGTTGGTACCTTTATACATCTATAAGCCCTCTCTATATATATATGCTTACAACCTATGTAGGGTCTCTATCTTCACATGGCCGCCATTTTGTATTCCAGCGGCTATATGTTGACAGGAGTGCATTTTTCTCATCAGGTCTGTGATACGGTTAATTTATAAGGAAAAACCCTATTATGAAATATGCCACCTTTTTTGCCACGGGCTCCAGAACTATACGTATTCACTGATAGAAACCTGTTCCAACATTTAATAGAGCAAGAAAAATCCTATTAATATCTTGAGTAGAGACATAAAACAAACAAAAAAAAAAGAAGAAAACAATTTTGTTTTCTTAGATATAGAAATTAATAGATTTCTAATTATTAAATATAAGAAAAAAATCTAGTATTTCTTTTATCTCAAGGTTATTCTTCTTATAATAGCTCTACATTACTTGAGTTTTTAAAATTAAATTCTATAGACCATTTATTGTTGGATATTAATTATTAATTTTGTTTAATCAAGATTAAGATAAAATATAAATTAGTTACGTCAATTGAAAAAGGAGGTAATTATTACTACAAGATAAATTATAATGAATATAAACGGTTTTCATAAGGAAAAAAAAATCAAAAATGTTTAAAGAAAAATTAATATTTTAATTATTAATATTATATTTAGCTTCTGGTGAATGGACCTAATAATAATATTATAATAAATAATATTAGGGATTATTGAAACGCGAAAAGTAACTTCCCACTTAAATATTTTTTATTTTAACAACGTTTGGGCTGTCTGGCCATCATAAATTATATTATAATTTAAAAATAGTAGATGTTGTGATTGTTTAAGTGATATCAGATCACTCACAGGAACGAATATGGCCTAATATATATACATATATATATATATATATATATATATATATATATATATATATATATATATATACATTGGGGGGGAGAGGAGGGTAGGCTTCAGTCTCTACCTTATCTTATCCAAGATTCTTAAAGAAATTTGACATTACTTCCTCACGAATGTACGAAAGCTTTGTTTGAATTCTTGCAGAAAACGAAAAAAATAAATAACAATAAATTTCTTTCCAAATCTAAAGTTTCCACTTGCGTTTTACATTTCAGACAAAAGACAAATGAATACAACAATTAATTTCTACATTCGGTTTTGGGGAAGTAACATCAGATATTTTTGTAATAACCTTGTATAAGATCCTGGGGCAATTCATTTGACATATAATGATGATATAATGAAAAAAGTTATATAAGATCGTTTTTCACCTTAGTCATTTTAATATTTGAATGGTCAATTTATTGTGCGGTAATACTTAAATAAATTAGAATATAATAACAAATAAAAAAGGCGGGTTATAATTATTTCAGGAAGCAGTTACAACTGGTTTTTGAACTTTGTTGAGAAAAGAAAATGAAAATGATGTCTATCGCTCAATTTTCTTTACATTTACTATTACTAGAGTTCACCCAGTGGTCGAAATTCGATTAACTTCTTTATTGGAAATTTGAAGAAAATTTATATTAATTTGCATGTTTTCAACATATTTGAAGTGAAAACTTCTTTTGCAATTTTTTTGTGATTAGAGTGGATTAGATTGAGCCGTCAGACCTCCGATGTGTAACGCTCGGGTAAAGTCGACTGAAGTCAACTAATTGAAGTGTTTTTGCATATGGATTAAAATGTCTGAAAAATTATTGGTTTAAATTTTACACATACAGTGATAACCAAATTTCTCAAACAGATATAGTACGCTATCTTAAAATTACATTCAACTAAAGGATTATCAAGAGCCTACACTAGGGATAGGACATCGAAGGCCCAACATCGATATTAATATTGACCTATAACAATCGATAACATCAAAATATTAGGCTTGAAAAATCGATAATCGATGTTTCCATCGATATTATAAACATTTTTGAAATATAAATATTGATTCTGTAGCACAGAGGAGCATAAAAAAACTTGTTATTTTCCTCTTTAAATTAATCAATGAAAATATCATTTCATTTCCTTAGTAAAATTAATATTCTATTTCCTGTCCATCGTTGTCTTCCTCAGCTTTTTTCCTGAAATTTCCATTCAATCAATTATGCCATAGATTCACAGGCGGATTTACGGGGGGAGGGGACTTTCGGACTGAAGCCCCCCCAAAATGGTAAAATATAACCATGTTTTACAGAAAAAAAAATTGAAAACTATCTCTTAAAGTATTCTTGTTCGTTTAATTACATTTAATAGGACTTCAGGAACCACTTAAGCACCATTTCATACAGGTAGAGTTAATTTCTTTCTTTCTTTTTTCAAATTATTTTTATGAAGATTTATGAAAAAAAAAAATCTTTCGGGTTGAAGGCCTCCTCCCAAAATTAAATCCTGGATCCGCTAGTATCCTACATAGATTTATTTGACAACTCCTAGCCTTGGTTTGAGAATGTACTTCAAGGCAAAATTTAAACAAATAATTTTTCAAAAGCTTATCAAAAAAAAAAATTGTTTCCGACATATCAATGCTTTTTACTTGCTTTTAAACTTGCAATTAGTATATTTTATTATACGTTCTTGCTTTGAAAAATCTAAGGTACTATTGTCGTTTTCTTATACCAAAAAATTTATTGAAAGTTTACAGAAAATTGTTTCCAATATTACATAATGTACAAAAAATTTAAAATATCATGTCTGTCATTTAGTATTCATTTTGGTAAACAATGCTGTTTGTTTGTTATGTTTTTGTTTTGTTTTTTGTCTGCCGTGAATTCTGGTCACTTGTGACCTCAACGTTCGTATGATTTCTTCCATATTTCCCTTCACTTTAGTTTTAGTCATTGCATAATTTACTTTGAACTCGACAAACATTTGAAAGTGTTACATAATAGTCATATTAAAAAAAAAATAAACACTTCTATACGACATTTTCAGTAATGATATATCTTGAGAACCTTTTTTTCTCGGAATTCAGATAGTTTGGGACAGACTGTTATGAAATGAGAATTGTTTTCCACCTCATTTAGATTACATCGTCATTATATTTGGACTTGATCCTAGTTTTATATTTTGTAATTTAGGTGTAATAATTCACATCATGCTTTAAAAACCCAATTATTACCAGCCCAAATTCCAAAACGTTGGCAACAAATCTCATGAGATATATGTTTTATTAATTTAGGTGTAAGCTCTAGAGTATAAGGTCAATTCGAGCCTGAGGTGAGCCCCATCACCTGTTATATTACAGATGAAGAACAAAGTACTCATAAACGACAAAAAATACTCCTTACAATGATTTTAAGCAGTAAAAGGACTACTATGAAAACAATAAAAGGTTCCAAATGAAAAAAAAAATAAAAAATAAAACTATGTTATGTCATTTATCAGCGTTGTTTCAAAATAATAAGTTTTATTTCCGCCATTTTGCCGTCTTTTATACAGTAGAAATTTATTTGTTTTATTTACTCTCAGTTTTTGTTTTTTTTAATTGTTTTAATATATCTCTAAATTGACCGAATTTGTAATTTAATTTTGAAATATTTTCGAATTTAATGCCCAAACACATATTTTTAAAAATTTTGATTAAGTCTCCGTTCCAGTACGTTTTAAAGTAGGGTCAATCCACTTGAAATCACCCAATTTGAATTAATTGCTCGATGATTTTTATAATTTATTTTTATTTATCAGTTATTCTATATTTATTTGAGAGTTCAAAATCATAGTTCAAAAAAACTATCGCGTGTGCTTTAGGCCATACGATATAAGCGAAATCATCAACAAGGCGAGATTAATAATATGAAATATAAATTATAAATAATTGCTCATTATAAAGAGGATGAAAAGCTGAACATTTCCCTCGCTTACAGTATGCAGCTCCAATTTTTAGTTTCTGATTTATTTTAATCCACATTTTCGATAAACCTCGTTATCATTTGGTTTTCGACTCTATTTTTCCATTTTCCCCTCCCTAACTCGACGTCGCGTTAAGACAATTTTGAATAATACCTCATTAGATAGAGGATGAAATGATCAACATTTTTCTCACAAACAATATGTAGATCCCATTTTTAGTTTTTGAGATATTCTAATCCATATGCTAAAAGACTTCAATGAGGCGACTTCACCCGAGCGTTACATATCGCAGATCTGACGGCTCAATCCATTTCACTCTCCACAAAAAAGTGAGCCTCAGTTTTTTCTCGACGGCCATTTTTAATTTTCTTTTCGACTAAAAACACTTTTTGGGAAAATTCCTGTAACTCTGGTTATTTTTTAGATATCTAACCATAATATAAACTGAAATAATTTAGAGTATTGTTTCTACATTTCTGTTAATCAATACATCATCTAAAAAGAAAGGAAAGTGGTTTTAAAAAATCATGAAGATAGATATTTAGCGATGCAAAAGTGTAATAAAGAAAAGAGTCTCAACTATATTTATTTTATTTTTTTCGTATGTAGTCCTATCATTGTACTTTTTAATGAAATTTCAATCTTTAAAACCTTGTCCTTTTTTAGATATGAATTTTCAAAAACGCCCAAATGTCATTTTCGGCAAGATTTTAATTTGAATACCATAAAAGGGATTGAGTGGAAAATAATGAAACTTGTACGTTTTATAACACTTTATAATAAGAACTTATGGAACAAATTTTGTGACTGAGTCTAAATTGGCTCCAGAATGATATCGTATCAAATATGTCTGAAAATTGTGTTATCTAACAATAAATCAGCATCCTGCAGGCACTGAATTCAAATTTAATTTTTCATTACACAAATTCTATGACAGCTACTCAGGGGTGCCCATCCTCCCCCCCTAAGGTCGATGGCGCAAGAATCTACCCTCCCCCTCCTAGATATTTTATTGTTCACTTTTTCTTAAAACCATAGCAAAGGAAAGTAGAATTAGAAAAATCGTAGATCATATACAATTAAACTGCTATCTGTTCCAAAAATTCATAACAATGTTAAAATGGCCCCCTCAAAAGATCAAAAACCTGTCAAAATATGCCCCCCTCAAAAAATCAAAAACCTGTCAAAATATGCCCCCTCAAAAATTTTGATGCTACAACTTGCGCCATAAAACCCTCTTCTGGACCTTGCAGCTGCTATAACTTCAACTGATATCTTTAAGTGTCTTAACAGTGAACTGTCACCTAAACAACTGTATTTGTGATTCGGGTGAAACATTGTTTTAAAAATCATTGATATGGATGAGTAATATTGCTGAAACTTGATTCTATTAAGTGTTTTCATGTATCAAATTCCTCTTTTATAGTTTTTATACTGTCAAAATGAGTTTAATAACAAATAAACGTTAAATATAAACAATTTTAGGATTCAAACTGATCATCAATAAATTGAAAGACCAAGACTTTGTTTTGTTATCTTCCTTATAGTTAATTAAATTTTCCTTGGTATGCCCTGATAGTTATATAATCTTATTTATTTTGTAGAAAATCCAGCGTTGAGCTATGCTTTGAGTCATTTCGTCCCATTCTTACTCCTGGTACTCATCAACTCCTCCAACTCCATCCTTGTTCGTGGAGTTTACATCGACGGGGAGGAAGCTGGTGCACAGTGCGTTGACTTCCCCTGCTACTATCTCAGGCTTATCTTCCAGGTATTATCATAATACAATATGATTTATAGCATATATTCCTTATAGAATAAATAAAATATTTTTAATGGATCATTAATAATTATTAAGAGGTATGTACTGTGGAATTAACATTCATGAAATTATTACAAAGCACCAACTAGTTATCAGGAAAAAGTTATTAATGTTAAAAATCAAATTCAACATATATAATTGATACCCAACCAAAGACACTATTCAATCTCAAAACTTAAATTTTACTATATAATTAATAGTTAGTCATAGTTTTCATTATGTAATTATATTCTCAAAATTTAAGAAAAAGAAGAAGAAAAAAATAATAATAATTGTGAATATGGCAGGGTATAGGGGAGAAACATTGGAATCCTCAATATGGAGAACCTTTGATTGTGGAGAATGTTATAAAAAAGTTTGACACACCTGATTTTGGTATCAATCTAACAATTAAAATAATGATTTATAGGGTCATTAATATGTCATGAGTAAACATCCAAAAGGTGAAATTTGACCAGATTTTATCAATCATGAAGTTTAATTAAAAAATAAAATTATTTATGTAAATTTAAATCTACCAAACATGTCATGGGTTTATTACAAAAATTCATTAAGTAACATTTCATTCTATGAAATCACTACGTACTTCATTCATTGTTATATAAAATATCAGGAAACAATTCCTTTTAAAACTTCCATTATTTCCAGGCTAGTTTACCAATCTTCTTCAATCTGCCATTTTTCTATAAATTATTTTTATATTATATTTTTTATATGGTCGATCTAAGGGCACACTCAGCCTCTATAATAAAATAATTAAATTAAGTGGGAAAACCTGATTGTGGAATGTGCTCTAGGTGAAATCACCTCCTTTCACAACTGTTGGTCTTGAAACAGAACCTCTTTATTACTTAACTATAAAGTACTCAACTCAAGCCCTTCATGGGCTGTACCCCTACAGGTTTATTTTCTTATTTTTATGAATATACTTTATACTCTATGTATTATAATATTTTCTAAATGTATAGAATAATTGTTTAACTATGATCCTTATTTTCAGTCAAAGAGGAAGGAAAAGATTATAAGAGAAGCTGAAAAGATGAAAGGAGCTGAAAAGGTCGAACAAAGACTCAGCGAAGGAGAAGTTCTGATCCAGGTCGGAGTCAATCCGAATGAGCCTAGTTGGAAAAATAAAAGTATTAATAACTTCTGTTCTCCTGAAGTGAACCAACATTGAATCTCAAACTCCGAGCAACGGTTATTTAAGCTAGGCATTAATGTCGAACTTAAGAAATTTAAAGTGTGTAGATGGTTGTTTCATGAAGAAGAGATAAGATCAAAATCAGCCTAAGATGACTTATTTCTCTATTTACACGCACAGTTTGGTAAATTAATATGAACAGGATATCTTACATACGAGAGAATACTCTTTGAAAATATTGTAAACAATCTAGTCGAGTGTTTAAAAATAAAGAAAAATCGTTCCTTTAAAATTTTTACTAAAAGTGAAATCTTCTAATAATAGATACTTATGATGAGTGACCATTATTAAGACAAATAAAAAGTAAAATAAGAGTTGAACTGAAATTGGGATATAGTTGATATATAAAATTACAAATATATAAAAATTTATAATATTTTTTATGAAGTATGTATTGCAAGTTTAAAAATATAATGTTTTTAGCTGGTTTCAGAAATAGAAATATTTTAAATTAAACTTTAAACTTTAGAGAATGCTATGAGGATTGGAAAACAAAGAAAATTGCAGTAATAATAACAACGATAAATTAGCATGTATCAGTTATGAATCCTTGATTGAAGATATCGGCTGATGTGACTGTAGACAAAGTTGAAAAATTGTCTTCTGATTTAAGTGTTCATTAATGGAAGTTTCACTGTATATTTAATTCTTACTGAAACTCTCTTAAGTGCTTAATTTTACTCTCGATTCATGATATTATTGTAGTGACTAATTTATTATTATTTCCTGTAAAAAAAAATTGCTTACTCATACACATATATATTACATCTATATTATTACAACTATAAATTTTAAGTGTATATAACTATAGTTTATTATAATATATCTTTCATTGTGAACAGATTATCAAATCAAGAGACTAAAATTTTAAAAACATTTACATAATAATATTATTGTTTTCAACACTATGCTCTGAAAGGCTTTAAGGAAATAAATTACAACTTTTAATATTACTAAGAAAGTTTCTTTGATTTTATTTATTTTTATTTTTATTCCTAAGTGTTGTATATGTATATAATTTATGGATGAAAAGAAATCCTGTTATATTGTATATTTTATGTATTTATGTACATAAAAGTACTTTTTAGGATAAGAATAAATTATATGTTAACTATGTAAATATTAAATTAATTCCTTTAGTTTAAAATATTATGTATAAACAAATAAATATAGTCTATGATATTATGGATTCCATTAATACCTTGATATCCACTATAAGTTTAACAATGATTTCAGTTCAAAATGTTAATTTTAATATCTTTCTCATAATGTTGGATTATTATGAATTAACTTTGAAGTAATCAAAAGGACATTGAGAAACTCGCTAAGACTCTGATAAAAGAGGCAGAGCAGATCGCCGTACAAGTAAAAGAAGAAAAAATAAAATATATGATAAGCCGAAAATTCCACCCCAATAACAGAATCTCTGTAAAAGGAAAATTATTCCCGAGATTAGAAAAATTCAAATACCTTGGGTCCTAAATAACCTCATGAATGACAAACGATCAGAAATAGACCAGCATACAACTAGCACAAACAGAGCTTTCTTCTCTCTCTTTCAAAGATATTGAAATCCTAAGAAATCTCAAATTAAGGGTGTATATAGGTATGATAAATCCAGTTCTAATATATGACTGTGGGACCTGGACACTAACCAGCACCCTAGAAAAAAGTATTGAAAGATTTGAGAGAAAAATCTGCCACACGATAACTGGAGCGATCTGCTATCAGAGAAGAAAGACCAATAAAGAACTCCTTACAGAAACTGGTCGAACAGTATCCCATGATAGGAAGGCACGGAGGTTAAGATGACCAGGGCATGTAGCTCATAGTAATCCATCTGGAAGCCTCTACGTAACAATGAATGCCTCAATAGAAGGCAAAAGACCACGTGGAAGGTCAAAAAGTAGATGGATAGATAGAATCAACAAATATTCAGTAGGGTTGCACGCAGAGAACTGGAAAGAAATATCCCAAGATAGGCAGAGATGGAGCAGGTTTTTTAGGGCAGCAAAAGATCTACATGGTCTGTAATGCCAACAGAAAAAAAAAAAAAGAATTATGAATTTATTCACTTTTAATCTTTAATTATCTTTTTAAGCAATTCGGCAAAAACTCCAGATTACAATACTTTAATGATTACTCATTTATTCTTTAAAATTAATTCATAAAATAAATAATAGAAATATATCTGGTTGTCCGTTTTTCAATCTTTTGTTTTTTTCTTTATCATATTATGCTCCCATAATAATATAATTTTTTGCTTCATTGAAGGGGAAGAGATGAACATGCATTTTAAATCCATTTCATAAGCCATAGAATAAACTTTACTAGGTTTAGGAATGTCTGACATATATATTTATATGCTTTTCTTTTTTTTTGATGAACATGCATTTTAAATCCATTTCTTAAGCCATAGAATAAACTTTACTAGGTTTAGGAATGTCTGGCATATATATTTATATGCTTTTTTTTTTTTTTTTTTTTTTTAGTATATATCTGAAACAGATAAAATACTTAGAAGGCTTACTCCCAGACACCAGGATCTATATAATAATAATAAGGCTTAGCGAACCCGAAGGTTCGATGCCGACACCACCAATCGCTTGTTACACACCTCCTTCCACCGTTCGCCGTCCAAACCCAGTCCCTTCAGATCCCAGGATCTATATAAACTTAATTAATAATTATTATGTATGACAGTAAATAAACAATTATAGTAAGAAACAAAAAATATATAAAGACATATTCTGTGAATAATGGCGTCCAGTATTGCACGCGTAGTCCTGATTAATAATAATAAAAACCAAACCTTCTGGAAAAGATGAAGAGTTACGAATCTTGAAGTATTAAATATAAAAATAAAGAAATATAATGTGAAAATAAGACGATCTTAGTGTTGGAGCTCTGCTAAACACTTTTTTAATGTATTGTTTTGTAATGTTAATAAAACAAGATGTAATTGTTTATTACACTAATCTCCAACTGATTACTAATAAAATTATAATAAAGCATTTATATCAAAATGACTAATTATAAATATGATCCATTGTTCTATTTACTATTGCAGATGTATTTTAATTCTCTCATAAAAAAAGCTTGAAGTAAATAAGTTGAACAAGGAATTTTAACAAAAATTAACAGAGAATTTTGGATGATAATATTTTTCTTTGGATATAAATATATATATATTTTCATTAATGGAAACAATTTTTCTCTAAAATTTAAATAAGTCACAATAATTTTTAAGTTACATGATGGTCAACTATTTTAGCCTTTAATTTCATATCATTATTAAAATTATAAATAATTTGTATAAAATGAAGACTGTAACATTGGATGAATTTCAAGCATCTGATAGTACCATGATTTAGGATTTTGACACTGCATATAAATGTTTGCACTTGAATTGAAATCTAAATGAAATAAATAAACAGGAATAGGTTATCCCTAAAAGAGGAAAATTTTTGTTTATTAATTCCTTGAGGAAATAGTATAAATTCTTCTTCTTCTTCTTCTTAATCAATTCCTCTTCTACCGCTAGATCAGTGTAGAGGATCCTGTTTATAGAGCTTCATCCATTTATCTCCTTCTGCACCAGCTGACTGCGTCTATTCCAATTCATTCCCCTCCTATCGAAATCCTCCCTTTTCTGGGCCTTCCTCTCGGCATTCGTCCTTCCACTTTAACTTGATATATAGTTTTGGCCATTCTTCCCTCCTGCATTATTTTGACATGGCCAAACCAGCGTAGTCTGGTTTTCTCTATTGTATTTTCTGCTGGTTTTATTCGAAAATTGCTTCTTATCGTTGTATTCCTGATTTTGTCTCTCCTAGTTTTCCCCTCTATTCTCCTCAGAAATCGCAATTCCAATGCTTGGATATTGCTTTTATGTTTTGAGGTTATAGTCCAGAATTCACTGCGATAGGTCAGGATGGGGACAAATGTATTTTTATACACCGTCTTCTCGATATTTTTACACACTTCTTTCTTCGCTAAGAAGCCTGTTTTTAGTGAATGGAAGAATTTGCTGGTCAATCTTATTCTTTCCCTAATTTCACCATCTACCCAGCCGTTCTCTTTTAGATGGGCTCGCAGATACTTAAAGTCTTTGACGTGCTCGAGTTACTCCCCCTTCAATCGAAGTACTCGGTCGCCCATCCCCACTCCTCTGCCTACCCTCATTATTTTTTTCTTTTGACTGTTTATTTCCATGTTAAACAGTTCTAATTCTTCCTGCAGGATTCGGAGGTTGTATTGGAGCTTTCTTCCGTTGTTTCCAAATAGAACAATATCGACGGTATATGCCAGAAGGATGAGATGAACTGGTCGTAGCTCTCTCTGGCCCAACCTAAAAGGTCTCATTCTTTCCTTAGCTCTCTTCAGTGCCATGTTGAGCACTATTATAAACAATAAAGGGCGTAGACTACAGCCCTGCCTTATTCCTTGGGTGCTCTGAAACTCCCTAGAGGTGTGGTTATTGGTTCTGGTCACGCTTTCTTTTTATATAGGCTAAGAATGGATCTCGCTAGATCTGGGTCGACTCCATGCTCGTTTAATGCACTGTTTATGTCCGTTTTTCTGACCATATGAATGCTTGGGTTAGGTCCACAAAGCAGGTATATACTTCATTATTCTTTTCCACGAGCTTTTCTGAGAGCTGCCCCATTACCAATATTAGTGTAATTTCTACAAAAATAAAAATAAATAGAGGGAGAAAAAATATTGACTTAGACGATTGTCTAGTACATGTTAGATAGCCGAGCGGGACGAAATCTAGCTTGTTGTTACATCAGATAACCTCTCTTCTTATCTCTTGTAAGCTGTAAGTTATTCCATTGTTTATTTTTGTTATTCGTGTAAGCTATGAATTATTCCATCGTTTATTTTTGTTCCTTTGTTATTAGTGTGATTTTCGTCAAATTATGGATGTTATTACATTCTGAGAATTATCGTCTTCAGAAGAAGAGGCTATCGAATATTTTCAAAACACCGAGATAATTTCAAACGTGAAATTGTGTGAAGAAGGTCATCAAATGAAGTTAGACAGGAAGATGAAATGGATATGCTTTCGTACCACTAGTAACAAAAACGTTTCTATAAGGAAAGGAACGCGGTTAGAGAGGTCGACGATTTCTTTTTTTTACGGCTTTAAAATTCATTTATGGGTGTTCCCATAATTTAACAACAATACAGTGGGGATAACGGGCGGATCTACGGGGGGAGGGCTTTCGGGCTGAAGCCCCAAAATGGAAAAATATAACCATGCTTTATGGGAAAAAAGTTTTAAAATAACTCTTAAAGTATTATTGTTCGAGTAATTACATTTAAAAGTACTTAAGGAATAACTTAAACACCTTTTCATATAGGTAGTTAGTTTATTTCTGTTTTTCCAAAGTTATTATCGTTATTTTTATGAAAAAAAAAAAAGGTTTCGGGCTGAAGCCCCCCCAAAAAAAATTAAATCCTAGATCCGCTAGTGGTGGGGATTCCATATATAAAGTTATAACTGATCTAACTTTTGAACCGTTGGAGATAAACTAGTATAATAATATATATATTCTTGAAGACAATTTAATTATTAAAAACTTCCTTCCCCATCACTTAATCGTAAAACGCAATAAAAAGTTATCCAGCTAAATACAGTAAATAAACCATGTGGTAAAAAAAAAAGTCCATATTAGCGATACCTGAGGACGGATATCTCGAAAACTAAGCGTTATATATAAAAATTTTATCAGATTTAATTTTGTATTGAATGTCTTTGTCGATACGATGGATAGTATTCCTGGTATAAGCGAAAACTCCAAAACGAAGTAATTTTTTCTTTTTTCAAAATTAGTCATAGTTGACGACACAAAGTACTTTAACACCTTCAGTACTGGAAACATGCCCCAATGACTGATGATAATCCAAACAGGTGTGCACATCGTCTCCAAGCAGGATATTGCATGAACCTTCTCCCAAGATATTTTATTGCTCCCGTCTTAAAAACAGTGCAAGCTAATGTAGAATTTTAAAAATCATAAGGCATATGTATGGCTGTTTCAGTATTCTGTTCTATGCTTCCTCTTGTCCTCTGGTTTGAAAATTTTCATTTCGAAAATTAATAACCCCGAAGAAACCTGCATCACTTGAAAATTCAAAACCGCGTCAAAATGTGCCCTCTCAAAAATTTTGATAGAGCAATTTGCGTTGAAATTCATGATACCTCCTTTTGGGACACCCCTGTACCAAAATGCTTGGGTTGAAACGTTCAACAATTTTTTGAATTAAAATTTATTTATTCAGAATTATTATAATTTATCATAATTAAGGACATTTATAATAGTGTTCAGAGAGCACATTCACACTCTATTTACAATAAATAAAAATAAATAATACAGAAAATTAATAATACTCAAAGTAAATGTAACAAAAGAACTAAACTAATCAAAATAACAAATAAAACACGAGCATACTTTTATACAATATTTACAGAATCCATTCACTCAGAAGAACTATGAGCCAAGCCTTTCTCCCCACTCGTGAATAAAGACAGGACTCTGGGAGATCTCAGCTCCTCTCACTCAGCCGCATTACTGGTATTAAGGACCATTAGAGGCTGAGCAGAGGCGCTATAATCACACATACATGGCTTGAGTGTAGAATCTGGCTATTGCCAAAAGTTCAATATATGCTTATTCACAAAATGACTCTGGGCCACTGCCGCTTGAAACTTCGAGGAGGATTGTAGGGATGGAAGGGGCTAGAAAGGGATTGTGCAAGAGGATTTGGATGATTTGTAAGATTCTCATGAAATTTTGAGAACGTTTCTGGGATAAGGCTTAGAACAAATGCGATATTAAGGTCATGGTGTAGGGTTTTGCTGGTTTCGTAGAACGAGGTATCAACTATTCTTCGAAAGACTTTAGATTGTAAGGATTGGATGCGTTTGATGTTAGAAAATTTTGCTGTCCCCCACAATTCAAGTCCGTATGTCCATATAGGTTTCAGGATTGTCTTGTTGATTAGTAATTTGTTTTCAATAGAAAGTTTAGATTTTCTGTTCAGTAGTCTGTATAGCTGGCCGTATCTTCGGTTGAGTTCTTGTCTTTTAAGTCTAGTATGTTGGTTCCATGTTAGTCTTCGGTCTAAAAGAAAGCCAAGATACCAGACTTTGTCTGAGAAAGGAAGCTGATTGGAATAAAAAATAAAACTGGTGTGTCCACTCACACGACTTTCCTAACTATTTCAGAAAAGTTTTTATATCTTTACATATGTACATGAAAAAACAAAAAGAATTGAACTAAATTTATTTTCCTGAAAATTGATCAAACAAAAGATTTGAACCGAATTTCTGTCACAGGCATCAGTAGTCAAAACCCTACAAAATAAAAAAAGAAGCAACAAAATCGGTTCAGTAGTTCCCGAGAAAATCTTGGCAAAGACAGACAGACAAACCAATGGCTAAAAATGTGTTTTTCGGACTCAGGGAGCTGTGAAAGGTATAGATCCGTCGAAAACCGCATGCCGGAAATTTGACCCGATTGCAATACTTTTCTTACCTAGTATAGGTAGGAAAGTAAAAATGGAGCAACAATAAAAATCTTAAAATGACTGTATCCTGATTATTTATCACCTCTGATATAGAACAGTCGACTTCTTTCTATAATGTATGAAATAGTGTAAAAAATAAATAAACAGCATGAGTATCCAGATAAACCGTTTTAGAAGAGGAACTTCGCTGCCTGAATATAATTGAAGTAAAGGAAGAGGAAATAGTTAATTCCTTGATCCTGGGGAAATTGGCTGTGCAGTTCCGCAATGGCGACGAGCAAATGGGAAATTGGGAAATTAGAGTTGGCGGAGGGACAATTGTGGAACAAAAGGCCCATCAGCCTCCCGGACACAACCTGTTAGCGCCCACCTCAACTGTCTCTAGTTTCCTTCGCCTTTCATTAGCGATAAATCGGGTCGCGAAATCAGGGAAGAATAATTACAACTATCATCTAGACTATAAATAACCCCAATGAGAACTCTCACATTATATATATATCTATTTCCCTAATGTATTCGACGTATAGAAGGTGTGGATAAGCGACTTATAATACAATTGATCCACCCAGAATCAATGTCTGAAAGATATAAAAGTATAGGCGAAGACTTTCCATTTTTATTGAGGGGATGGGAGGGAGGGTAGCGATGGAAAAAGATGGCGGTAGTTCATATTATAGAATAGAATAGAAGAATCAACTTTATTCTGGGACAAAGTCCCTTGAGAATAACAATATTGTACATAAAAATTAACATAACATCTGGCCAAAATGCATATTACAATAAAAAAAAAACACAACAAAAAACTAAAAAATAAGTAATAACAGAAGTATTTACATAACTATACAGATATAGTAAAGACATAATATGAGCAATCAGGTCCTAATACTGCAAAATAGTTGCTATAAACAATAAACTATGGAATTCTAAATGAAATTTGAAATGAGCGACAAATTAATTTTGTTGTCATACCATTGTATTGATGAAAAGAATGCTAATAAAAGAGTGGATAAACATTTACTTTAAATTATTTACATATGTACCTTAATATGTTCAAAGAATACAAAATATTGTAAACATTATACAAGTCCTATATAATCTAATTCCTAAGATGTAGATTGATCGGAGAAAAAATAAAAGATAATAATACATATAGAGGAGATTATATACATATATAATATACCTGATAAATGGCTACCCAGCGTCTGATTGAATTGTAAGGAGGAATTGGAATAAGGGGGTTTTAAATATGGATAAGGATGGTGCATGGCTGATTTTAAGTGGGATGGAATTCCAAAAGGTGGTGGAGCGGACAATAAAGGACTGTTGAAATGAGGCCGATTTGTGGAACGGGGTATCAAGGTCAGAAGGACGAGATCTTGTGGAGAGCGAGTGGATAGATGACTTAATTGAAGGAGATTGGATGCGTAGGACGGACGATGATTATAGATTATTTGGTAAAGGAATGTACCTAGGAAATACTGTCTTCTGAAGGAGGGAAAGAGCCACCCTAATTCAGCGTAGTAGTGGGAAACATGAGAACGTCTCGGGTTTCCATTGACAAATCGTACTAAGCCATTCTCCATGTTACGATGAGTGGCCACCGTACAATACGCAGCCGTAGTCAATATGGGGGAAGATGAGGGATACTAGAAGTCTACGTGTGGATATGGATAGGAGATGGCGGAAGCGATTGAAGAGTTTCAGTGTGGAAATTGAACGTCGGGATATGTGTGCAAATTCATAATAATTATTGAAAACCAGTAATGCGCCTGAGTGAGAGGCGCTTGGATCTTCTAGACTCCTGCCTTTCCTTCCTCGAGTGGGGAGAAAGACTTGGCTCGGAGATCTTGAGTTAAATATTTTTATTTATTTTTTAGATATTGTATAGAAGAATGAGTGTATGTCGGTAATTATTTTTATTAGTTTAGTTTAGTTTATATAAATTTGCTTTTAGTATTATTGTTTTTCTGTATTATTTATTTTTATTTATTGTGACAGATTGTGATATCTCTCAATAAATATGATTTAAAAAAAATTATTGCGAAACGAACAAATATAATAATATAATACTGGATATTTAAAAATAAATTTATACTTATGGGTATGCTATTAAAATTTATAAGGGGACACGTTTTGACGCGGTTTTCAATTTATGAGGGGGGCACTTTTTGACGGAGTTATGAATTTTCAAAATGAAGTTTTAAATTAAAAGGCACGTGCAGTATTTAAATTATACTTTCGTTTGCACTGTTTTTAAGAAGAAGAGGGGAATAAAATATCTTGGGAGGAGTGGGGAAAGGTTAATGCGCAATCGGCCTTGGGGGAGATGGGCACCCCTGTATGTATGTATTAACTCTTATTGTAACAGATCTGGTTTTAATAACTCACATTATAATACATAGAAAATACAGCAATCTGTTCAAACCATAGAACCTTACTTAGAATCAAATACCCTTACATACAGTCCACAGCTGTCAAATTAGAATAAGCCCTCTTTTTCTTTTCTTCTAATCTCTCCTGCAGATCTGTAGGAATATATTCACAATTGCATATATTATATTTAAAAAATTGTTACCATCTATTTACTTCAGTTTAGGATCTTGTTACTTAGCTTACTCAATTGAAATAACTTATTTTTCTTAATATTTTAATGTACTTACTGTTTATAATTTTAATAAGTTTATTCATATTGTATATAATTTTTTATCTAAATATGATGTAACTTCCACAATTCTCTATATCTTTTTATATCTTGTCCGTTTTAGCCTTGAAGATCTGCAAAGTCGGATAGAAACGTTGGCTTTTAATAAAATAGTTTTGCCACTATTTAATCTATTTATGACCGCCACCCCGGACTATCTCTTTACTCAAATTTATTCATGTTTACCACAGATGTTCAATAGTGATTATGGTCGAATTTCAACACTAGTTTACATAAATTCACTTATTTTTTACTATGAGCCATTGCCTTTTATCATGATAGCATGTAATATTTTTCAATAAAAATAATTTGTTTGGTATGATTTGCTTTTAAAGCATGCCTGCCCTCATTAAAATATTACAGTTCACGTACCTAAAAATAAACACAATTATAATATAACATTTATCATAAAATAATAAAAGGCACAAAGGCTATTTAAACGCCGAGGAATTCGGCGACTGCGCCCTATCCAAGTCTGAGAATAGCCGTCTCTGGTATCAGACTGATTCGAGATGGGACCTGAGGAGGAAGCTGCTCCGATCGTGTCGGTGGAGTTCGAGGTCTTCGGCCACGTCCAAGGTTCGTATCCACGTGTTGCTCAATGGAGCCTGCTCCGACCTTGAATTAATCACCTAATAACGCAGTCTAACGCATGCGCATTAACATTTTTTACAAAATATAACATACTATTGAAATTTAACGACTCCTTCTGTAGTGAATATGTTTGGGCTTCAGTTTATAGTGAATACATCCTTTGAAAGAACTCAAAATATCTGTTATCAGAAAAGATACTAATTTTTTTTAAGTGAAAACTTCTTTAGGCGTGCTTAGCACTTTGTTTTGTGGATATTGAATGTCAGGGCCATCTAACACCCATTCGGGTAACGCCTACTTATTTCTGTGTTTGGATTAAAATATCTCAAAAACTAGAGATCAGAACTGCAAACTTTAAGCAAGGGGAATGTTCAGAATTTCAGTATCTTCGTAATGAGCTATCATTCAAAATTTTATTTTGAAGTGACACCGAATAAGAGAGTCGTAAAGAGAAAAATATAACGGAAAAAAAACAAAAAAAATAATAACGACTATTTTCAACATTTTGACTAAAATGTCTCAAGATTTAAACACCATGGAGGGTTCAAAAACCGATTTGCAGAATTCAATATAGATATTTTTTTAATTATGCTAAAAATAAGATTGAATTTATATAGCACTCGATAATTTTTTGACAAATTACTGACCTCTGTTACGGAAGTTTTTTATTTAAAAAAAAAAAAGTTATTAAGTGAGATTTTATAATCTTAATCACTAAAAAATTTCATGAATTTTACCTTTAAAAATCAGAAATTTATTGTAACAATATTTTATATATAAATCGGCTTGTGTGATTTAAGTTTACATACTGTTTTTTATTTATTTCGTTTTTTTAATCAACAAACAAGACTGAAATTCACAAAAACGTCCTTAGAATTCAGATTCATCAATAATGTACTTATTGACTATATTATTTATAAGGGATATGATCGTGAAATATTTCGAATCCGAGTTTTCAAATGAAATATAACTTTTGAAGTAACGTGAGCCCAAATAAAGAAGTCTCCGAAATTTCTCTCTGTCACTAACTAATCCAGGATTAGTAAGGTAAGAACCAGTTTCCCGAAAACGCCTGACGACGTCTCGTAAAGTTTCATATGGGACTCTGATGGCATTAGCTGCATATCTAATGAAACGTCCATCATCAATAAGTGCCACACCACGCGCAACATCCTCAGCACTAAGAGGCATTTTTAAACTTAATATTGAAAAAATTAAAAGCCGGAGACTAAGTAAATGTGCTGGAAGAAACGGCACTGAACTAATGATACTGAATAAACATCTTGATTCCATAGAAAGTAAACATTGGAATCTAGAATCATTTCATTGAATTAAGGATTAAGGATTATTGTCCTCTATATTAATATTCCTAATTGAAAACAAACAAAAAGATTACCTATTTATTCATTAAAAACAATAGAACAATCCAAAGCAGAAACATTTTTAGATGAAAACATGAAAAAATCAAGTGGGTGGAATTTTTTGTCTGTCAGTGTATACATACTAATTTTTTGTTCTACGTTTTTCTATGTTTTTATTAAAAGCTTAGACTTTTCCACAATTTTTATTAAATCAAACATTTAATTTGTCTGGTCCACAAGCAATTGTTTTTTTAATTTTCTTATATCTCCTTTAAGTTTTCAACAAGCAATAAGGACAAGGAGATAATAATAATTATTATTATTATTATCTTCTTTAATCTATAATGTCTTTAATGTTTTGAACCTTGCCATAATTTTTTGTATGTTAATTAATTTCTTTAAAGGAATAGACTATACCTTCTATATTTTTTATTTTCACTTCCCTACATATAAAAATCCCTAAAATATAAAAATGTTTCTACCCAAGGAAGGTGGTAACTGATAATAGTGTGATACGCTCACCCCAGTCAGATAACATCATCTAATCTATTTCAGTTTTAATTTAAATATGCTAATATTCTTCAAAATTTTCAAAAACAAACATCGCCTCGTTCATATCTTAACTTCCAAAAATTATCAAGGATAAACCATCAATGAGATCTTACACACAATGATTGTGTAATGTTATCAAAAGTGAAGGATGAAGTTATAACCCTGGTGCCACATAAACGTACTACATTTGGAACAGTTCCACATATCTTGGCAGTGTACAGCAAAGCAGAAAGTTAATTTATAATTCATTAACCCGCATTCTAATGTCTGTTCAAACATTGTTTTTGCTTATATGATAAGGAACATCGGAATTATCAATGGGACAGTTATAGAAGTGTTGAGCATAAAGTTATCTTATACCTTTCGGAACTAAGTAAATAAAAAAAATTACAATTCAAGTAGTCAGTAATCATAATTTATTTATAAATTAGGATCGCCGGGTTGTTTAGCCAGAATTACAATATATACCTAATTTTTAATTTTCTACCTATACTAGTTAAGGAAAGTGTTGCAATCGGGTCAAATTTCCTATATGCGGTTTTCGACGGATCTATACGTTTCAGAGCCCCCTGAGTCCGAAAAACACATTTTTAGCCATTGGTCTGTCTGTCTGTCTGTGCCAAGATTCTCTCGGAAACTACTGAACCGATTTTGTTGCTTCTTTTTTCATTTTGTAGGGTTTTGACTACTGATACCTGTGACAGAAATTCGGTTCTCCATGCGCAATAGCTTGCGCGCAATAAATGAAAAACATATTTTTCTATAGAATATAGCGCGAAAACGGCTCTAACGATTTTGATGAAACTTTCCTATAATGTTCTAATCATAGCCCTTTCAATTTTCGTATATAGACTAAATTCCCGAAAAAATCAGGAAAAAAAGTTATAAAGAAAAGAAAAATGTTATGGAGCCTAACTCCCTAAGCATATGTTATACTGTAAAATTTATAATAAAACTTTTAAAAGGTAATTAAATGACCAACAAAACAAAAAAAATCATCGAAATCGAACCACTATTAGCGATGATACAGCTTATTCTATATTTTACACATTTTTTAAATTATTACTTTCTTACCTATATTAGGTAAGGAAAGTATTGCAATCGGGTCAAATTTCCGTTAGTCAAATTCATTTTAGTGATATTTCTAGTTGGAAAAGTTATATCTATTCAGACATTGAGTTAGTTGATTTAAGAGTATTTGATTGCAGTGTTTAAATATAAAGCTGTGAATGAAATTATAAATTTTGCCACTAGAAAATTGAACCGTTTTTAAGAAAATTGTAAAAATGTGTTGTTTCACGGTTGATATGAAGTGGCACTTCCGGTTAGCCGATTTAAAGAAACAGTTGCTGTAACATCACAAGCATATAAAAACCTTAAATATGCAATTTCACTTTCATACGACTTTTCGTTTTTGAGTTAGACTGCTAACACACACACACACAGACCATTTTGTGGGACTTGGTTATTTGTACCCAGGAGACCTCAAAACATGTATTTCCGTTAAAAACTCAGATTCGAAAATTTTCACGATCGCAATACTAACTATATATTTCGCAATACTACTTACCATATATTTCATATATAGGTAAGTGACAGTAAAAATATATATATTTTTTTTGTTTATTTAATGTGATTTATTCGAAGTATTTTATTGAATTATTCTGTTCAATTATAAATAAAATTATAATTTTAGTTTAATGTATGAGTATATGCATATTCTTTTAAATACCCTTAAAATAATGAGAAAATTATTATGATTATTTTGGCAGATTTTTATCAATATTTCAATTTTTTTTAATAATAACAAATAATCTATTTATTGAAATGAAATAACTCGGCATTTAATTTTTGTATTTGTAATATATGGACCATAGGATTTCTAAATTCTAAATATACTACTTCGCAATTAACCTAAAGAAAACAGATTCGATTGGAGAAAGGTTGAAATAATCACCAAGCTGAAGATTTGGCAATGTTTCTAGCCATTGGTTGAAAACAAATCTTTCATCTGAGTTATTTTTAAAACTGTTCCGTTCGATTGTTAGTACTGTTTTCTAGTTTTCGGGAAAAAACAATCCAGATTTTCTTTTATAATTGCATAAATCACTGAAAGAATTTATGTTCTAAACTTAGCCATTGTAATATATGGATTGTATTCTCTCAGCTTTCCAATCAAAGTAAAGCTACAGATTTATTAGCATGGTGAAAAAAGTTAATTGGGATTTTCAGTCAATTAAAAAAAAGTTTTTTTTGTTTTTAACTATCTTATTATTTTTGTCAACTGTATTAGAAATAAAAATACATTCCGTAAATGTGAACACAAGAATAAAGTAACATGAAACCACTTGTTGAAAAACTAGTCACTGGTAGCACTCTAAAATGTATTTTAAAAAGGAGGTCTCGAGGCCATCTTCTTTTCAGACGCCTCGGAGGGTTATCAGGGATCAAAAAGGAAGCAAGGTTAGAAACGAGAGGGTTTGAATGGTTCCGAAATTTTTTATGGAAAGATTGATATCTGGATTGGGCCAGGTCAAAAATATAAGGAACACTAAGGTATTTATGGATGATTTTATTTGTGAAAAAGGTACCAATGACAAGACCAATGGTAAGGAGCAATGAGGATTTTACGAAGGATTTTGGATTGTAAGGATTTGATACGAGAGGAATTCGATGGTTTAGTGGAATCCCAAAACTCAACTCCGTAAATCCAAATAGGTCTTCAATATCCCTTGATATGAAGACACGGAGGTATAGATGGGCGGGGCATGTAGCTCGTAGCCCCTTAGTAACAATGAATGTCTCAATAGAAGGCAAAAGACCACGTGGAAGGCCAAAAAGCAGATGGTTAGATAGAATCAACAAAGATGCAACAGAGCTGCGTGCAGATAAATAGAAAGATATAGCCCAAGACAGGTAAAGATGGAGCAGGCTTGTTAAAGCGGCAAAAGCTCTTTTAACAAAAGATTTGTTATTACAGACTCTATAATAACAAAAAAATAAAGCAAATATTTATATAGAAAACGACATGGTAAGAGAAAAAACGAAAATATATTTCTCTGATAGAAGTTT